TGTACTGATCATTTCAAAATGGTTATTTGAATTTTTATTATCATATTGTAGAAGTTAAAAAAAAAATTGGGAAATTATTTTTCTATTACTGGACTCACTATTATATATTATTACTGGACTGGACTAATCCAAGTTGATTGTGACGACGATAATGATGATTGATGATCAATACATATTTTCGTTAATGATAATATGTTGTTTTACTGTGTTAAAAACACGTTTTTTTCTATTTAAACTCTAAAATGTACATAATAATTAGTGTACATTGAATTGACACAACAAACAATAGTTAATTCTTGTAAGTTGTATTTCATGAAATTTCATTTCATATTATTTATTAATAATTCAAAGCAAAAAAGGCTTATTACATCTGAATTGTCAAAAAATGACAGCTGTCAGAATTCCGTCGAATTAAAAATCGGACTATAGGTATTTTATGAAGCGCAGTTGTTTTATCATTCAAAGCCCTTTTCAAAAGATAAAATACATTATGTATCTCTACTATGTTTATAGTTTTAGCATCATCATGTTTCTTTTCATTGTGATATTGTCAATATCATGTAGGTATGTAGAGTTTGTCAAAGTATCATGATAAAGCGTTATAATTTTTTTTAGTTCCACCCTACTGAAGAATCATGCCTCAATAAAAGATATTTTGCTAACAATGAATTACTGAAATGGAGAAATATGCAAAAAACATGAACCTATAAATAATAAATGCGGTCGTGATGAACTACATGAAAACAAATAAATACAAAGTACGAGTGTCCTTGGCGTTTTACTATACACACAACTATGTTAATAATAAGATTAAGTGTAGTAAACAGTAGGTAGGTACTGTTCTCAGCACATGGTCGCAATCGCGGTTAAGTGATAAGCGAACAAATTCCTGTTAAATATTCAACACCATCCAACAATTGTACTAATCAATGCATTTTAGAACACAAAACATTCAAAAACATTGTTACCCGTATTCATAACTCATCCAAAAGTATCTTGAAATACAGACTGACCCGTTTAAAATCACCATAACAATACCATTTTCATAAACTTTGTTATTTTGTTACGAAAATCAAAGAGACTCGTTGATCAGTGTCCCGGCGGAGAAAATTAAAAAAGTTTCCCTTAACAAAGAATCGAAAAAACCACAAAAGAGACGCAAAGGTGTTTTAAATTCCTACATTCTGTTATTATTTCAGCGACGCCGCAAAAGAAATCAACAATGCTCGGAATTTCATTGTTGCGATTCGTAAATTAACCCACAACGCTGTTGCTGAGACAATTAAAAAATAATTCACAGAGCGAGCACAGATTCAAAATTTCCAACAACAATGCTCGCTTGTATCAGCTGATAGCATAATCGATCTTTCACCTGCGTAAGACCTTGAATGAGTGACCGGTGAATGAGGCAAACTATAATAACATCCATTTGCATACCGCGTCCTCCAAGTCTGGCGCGGGCCTTACCTCCGTCCAGCGTTTACAGAGTTGGCTTAGCGTATCTAATCTAGTTAGCACTGCACTCGACTGACGTCACTACGAAGCCGGTGCGTGCGCGAAAAAAGTTCAACAAACTTGTCGAAATACGTAAATTGATAGGTTTTTTATTTAACGCACGCACTAACGGTGTGGTTCAGCGGCAGCACAGGACTCGTTTTTGTTTTTTTGTTGTGTTTTTTGTTTTTGGAACTGTGATTTTGTGTTGGTGGTTACTTTTCAGTGATGTTTTCGCGCACGGCGTACGAGCGAGCACGGTGCGGACGGCGACGGGTGCGGCGCGCGGCGGCTGCGACTCGTCTGCGGCCCGGCGCGCACCGACCGCCCCTGCGCAATTTCTACTTACTGTACACAAGTGTACATACCGCGCGCGACTGTACTCAGATACTGATATTGCAGAATTCATACGGTAAACAAACACTGAAAGATACTGGCCGGTTTGAACGGGAAAGAATATGAAATTACATTGCAAGTCTTGCAACGATGTGACGTCATCTCGTATCGTAAATCTTTACGGCTACATATTATCCAGTCGGCAGCAGTTTGAACTCTGTATGGTTGTAGCCAGTAAATTGTCGATTGGTAATACATTCGTATTTATTGATGCAAGTGAGGCATAGGACGCCGACAGTCAATTGTTCGGGTGACGCTCTTACACAACAATGGCGGGTCGTTACAATGTCTTTTGTCATCTCCTAACTCCCAAATTAAAGTAGGTAAAAATGTTTCATGTTCAAAGAACTGGCGAGTCATTATTCGACGTAACCTAAACGCTCTTATTCTATAATATCTTTTATCCGAAGGTATTCTAAGAAAGGAAAGAAACCAAATTTTATTTTGTCAGAAATTCGGTATTAAAGAGTCATTAAAAAGAAGTAATCTCCTCCATCGTTGGCCATTCAGAATTTTTGGGATAATTTCTTCGACGAGTAGAAGAATGGACTAAAAACTGTGTGAATGAAATGAATGAACTGAAAGGAATCGCAGTCCTTATGATTAGAAATCATTTCAAATTATTCATCCTAATAGATAAGTAGAGTTATCTGTACTATTGTTTAATTAAATTAGCTAATATATTTATTGCTCTAACCAATAGTTTTTAAATTAATATTATGTTAAATGTATAATTTATTTTGTTCATATTAAAACGTATTATTTATCTGTGTTAAAACTACATCCTTGGACCTTCCTCGGATCCTTTATTTCCAGCTCAATCAATATTTCTAGAGTTTGATAGAGTCGACTATGTTGGTTTATCACGTACCTACCCACTAAGTAGGTACCAACTATGACAAATTTTAATACTTTCGGAACGTTTATCCTAGAACAATATTAGCCTTAGTTTTGTACCTAAAACCTACTTAAAAGGCAACAGTATCTGAGCTTAAGATGAGTAAAATCATACAAATTACAATTAACTATTTTACTAAAGATAACTCAAGAATAGCTACGAGCCAGAATTAGCCCAAATAATAATAAACATTCCAATGTTACCATAACATTTTGATTAAAATTAGACTTAATTAGCAAAGGTCACGTCTCACGTCTGTAATTCCACTAATTCGCAAACTAAATATAATTAATTAGACATCCTAACTAAGTAATCTATTCTATTATTATGAATACGAAAATAAACTTTTAAGCCTAAGCAGCAACCATTTCTTTGTTTTGATTCATTGCAGACTTCATGCTAATCATTGTAATTTTATGTAGTTCTACATACAATTTTTAACTGCGTTTCTACACACATTTGCCATAAATGTTCGTCTCGAAGCGCAGCTGGTGGGGCCCAAAAGATAGGGGAGACATTTACGCCCGTATTGACAAACGATGCTTGCTTAAGTGAAGCAGTAAATCGAACGCACAGTGTTGAATAGAGGTCTGTGATTGGTTCGTGTCACAGCAGGAAACATTATGAATACAATAACCACACAACATCGGAATGTTACAATATTGACGGATTTTTGCTAAAGTTCACAGTTTATACAACCACACAACAACAGCATTTTTCAATACTGACGAATTTTTGCTAAACTTTACAGTTTCTTTGTACAGTCGTCAGCATTAGAGTACTAACTACGATTTAGTTGCAAAATCGCACCTATTATAATAGCTTCAATGCCAAATGTTTAGCACGATGTGCCGTCGGTTCATAAAATATACCAGGGCGCTAACGAGGTCTGGAATAAATAAAACCCGAAGTTTGCTGCGCCTAATTGCATGTCGCTTCAAAAGTGGTTGCTCACAGAACTGGTAGCCCAGGAAGAACACACAGCCCATGAGAGTTAGAAAATTATAAACAACTAGTTTTGCGCCCGCGGCTCCGCCCGGGGTTGAACAATTTTTTTTTTTTTGTAAATGCTCGTTCATGTACCTATGACTTACTTTTTACTTATAATAATCAAATTATTGTTATATGTTTTAATTAATCGCAGCTTAAATAAAAAAAGCTTAAGTTTAAATAAATTTTGTGTTCCATGTCCGTTATGGGCATGGGTCATATCTCGAAACCCATTAAAATTATTAACATTGTTTAGATAAATAAGTAAATCAAACAATGATCTGATTTTAATTAATTCATCTTTTTTATGCCAAAAATTAAATAAGTTCCATAATTAGCTGATTACAGCTTTAGTTTATCTCACCTGGTTCTATGTATCCGTATGTTAAAGTTCTTTAGAGTCCAATTTAAAAAGAATAGAATAGAATAAAATAAAATAACGTTTATTTTGCTGCCACATGAATACACATACATACATAAAACAAACAGTCAACATTACAGAATCAGTCAAAAGAATAATAATTAAAATTAAATAATCTATATATATAAAAGAAAGTCGTGTTAGGTACTCCAGAACCACTCCACTTATAACTCAAGAACGGCTGAACCGATTTAGCTGAAAATTGTCAGGGAGGTAGTTTAGAGCCAGGAGAAGGACATAGGATACTTTTTATTGCCATTAAGGCGGAACAAAGTTCGCCGGGTCAGCTAGTAATAAATAAAAAGATCCTGGCTATGTCCGTCTCTTCTATCTGGGCTGTACAGGAAGTAAAGACTTGAGTCCCCTGACCCAACGCAACGATGTCTACATTGAGATATGAATGCATATGGTGCACGACGAAAGTCCTCCCCTGACGTAATAGTGTACGACTTAATTCTCACTTTGGAGGTATTTAGGCCGTGTTCCAAGATCCAAAGTTTTTAAAAATATTAATCCAGTGATATCCATAGTTTTACAGCGAGGAAACAATTTAAAAGAGCAATGACCACGCTTATTGTCGTACCCGTATTCGTGCTAAAAGGCAATTTTATCGTTCCATTGAACGCTACTAAACAAACTATGCCTTTATTTATAAATAGCAGCGGAAAATATCGCTCGCTACCAACCTTTTTTGATAAAAACCAGAGGTTTCAATCAAATTACAATACTGGCTACCACATCGGGAAAAAATTAAAAAGTATCCAAATTTGAAGTTCGAATGTCATTCGGCTATCAAATTTCAGTGCGTGTCGTCACGCGTGGCCGCGTCGGGGTTTTTGTGATTTTTATTTCGCGTTACAAAAAATCAAATCATGTCGGCATCCGATGTTGGTATCGACGATTTGTCGAACATCGACATAACGTTGATGACTTTGAGGAAACCTACGGAGTTGAAGAAAGTGATAGACTCAATACCGAAGCCAGTAAGAGCTGTTCCGAAGAATGGCTTGCCCATGTGGTACAGGCTTGGCCTGGAATGCAAGCTCCCGATGCCCAAAATGCCGGTTGGGAAGATTGTGTTTGCACGTGGGAAAATAGGCGAGGACGTAAGTGAATAATTTCTTTGACCCGAGCATGACTTTGACTCGATGTAGCTTACAAAGGATTAACAAACACGTTATTATTTCTGTACCTGTGATTAAATTAGAAATAGATACGGTGAATCCGCTCTATTTCTCTACACAGCCTCTTATAGCACTAATAATTTACGCCCGTATTCACAAACATTACTATGAGGTCTCACAGTGCGCGTGGCCGCACAGGGTGACACTCGAACCAATCACAGAGCTCTATTGACGTTTTGGGTTCGATTTGCTGCTTCACTTAACCAAGCATCGTTTGTGAATACGGGTGTAAGATGCTATTGCCAGGACTGTCATGATACCATCTGTGATATCTAAATGATTACAAGATCCTGATATTTTATAGTTTTACATTTCATCACCTGTTGCGCCTAAGGTGAGCCTACTCTCTATTAACTCTACTATGTACACACCTCCCAAAGCCTAAGCTGCGAAGACTATAAACAGAATAAAGACCGTAAATCTGCTTTTACACCTCATTCCCATTTCTATTGTTGCTCTCACTAGAGGGGCACGTTCTGTTTACTCGGCTCGTAAAGTTTTTATTTATTCGAATTACTTACTCGAGTAATACTGCTGCTAAGTGGATGGTTTACTCTTAAAAAACATTTTACTACTTATTTTGGGATTCGTCTAATGTATTAGGCTTTTTAGGGCTTATGTAAAAGCCTTTTTATTGTCCTGTTGCATCCCTTGGAGAACCATCATTTCAGCCATTTGCAGTCAACTGTTGGACTTAAAATGCCAAAGAGCAGCAGAACGACGACACATTGTTTAGATTTACTTTTTAAAATAATTTATAGTCGACGAAGACGATGGAATTTTTGGGTAAAAGATGTGATCGTAGCAAGGAAAAATCGCAGAACATCAGGCCATTAGAGATAATAAAATTGTAAGAAACAATCCGTTTTATTATCTTAAAAACGTCGGCCTCAAATAATATCTTAAAATCTTCGCTTTTATCTTTAGCCTATCTTGTACTGTATGTACAGTCAGCGTCAATTAATTCATGCCACCCAAAGTAGCCAATAAGTTCGAAACACATCTTTGTCACAACTGAAATAAGGTTGTGCTGTCAACTTTTTCGTGATTAAAAATGATGACCACGACCACTCTGACAAGAGTGTACCGACTGAGAAGAAGAAGTCAACTTTTTTGGCCACTACTTATTTGACGCTGACTGTGCATGTAATAATTCCAAGCCTTATTCCAATACTAACCGACATTATACGAGTACACACATGGAGGCAAATACGCGTTTAGGCGGTTTCAGAAAGTTTCCGGCTTTAAATCCCTTTTTAAGAGACTTGGTTACGTTCATTATGCTAATGCTCCCCATTCAACCCGCGAATGACGTGGCTATAAGGGTTGCCATCAATATAACAGCATACTTTTTTTTATAAATATTTTTTATTGTGAGAATAACAGTTTAGTAACGGTATCGCACGATTTTGAACTTAGGTATAAGGAATTATATAATATTTTCAAGCTAGGTTTGTTTGTGAATCCCAGTACAAAAAATATTAATAACATGTTATTACATGGAGTAATTTTACTTGATACGGCAGTGGCTGTCAAGTGGCAGTGGGCGGGGCACATAGCTCGTAGAGACGATGGCCGTTGGGGCAGGAAAGTTCTCGAGTGGCGACCACGGGCTGGAAGACGTAGCGTGGGCAGGCCTCCTACTAGGTGGACCGACGATCTGGTAAAGGTCGAGGGAAGAGCCTGGATGCGGGCAGCGCAGGACCGTTCATTGTGGAAAACCTTGGGGGAGGCCTTTGTCCAGCAGTGGACGTCATTTGGCTGAAACGAACGAAATTTTACTTGATAAGTGATTCTAAATTTTCAGTCGAGCTCTCAAAATCTGTCATATATTGTAAGTGTATGTCGTTAATTAACCGGTTCTATGATAGAGTTTTTTTTTTTCGTTTTTCATTACTTTAGTTAGTTCTTTAGATGAACTCTACATAATTTTTGCCATTTGTATCTCGACAACCCTACACCCGAAGCATTCTCGCGTAATAAATCTTTTTAGCGGCTACGTTATTGTTTCACACGTCCGCGGTATGTTCTTGTTAGTTTCAGGGTCCAAACCAACATCCCGTTTTTCAAGTGTTTTACAACATCTACCTCACTGTGGGAATGTAGATGGGGATTTCATGCGCATACTAACTTAGCCAAATTCCCATTAGACTCCCCACAGACTTTTACGTTGGCCCATAGTAATTTGATCGGCTTCCAACTTATTGTAAGAATTAGCTGATACCAAGTCGGTGATTGTGTGTAAGATACTTGCATACAACAGCCTAACCAAACTATCGGCCAACCAAAATTTGTACTTTACGGGGTGTCTTAAAGTAATGGGATAGCGAAGAGAAGAAAAGAAAACATTGTGACTCAATATCCTAATTTTGAATTACGTGCCAACGAAAATTGAGATTTCGTTTCTATAATTCTAAGTTCATTTTTATATGAGCGGCTGTCTAGGCTAAAGATTGTTTTAAAAAAACACCCTTATCCTAATTTGTTACGTAACGCCTACGCCGCATTCATGATCCTAATGTTAGGATCTCTTCACAAACATCTTGTCTGCTTTGAATGATAAATTACCCTATATCAAAATTACGTAACATTTAACGTTTATAAACTTAAGCATTAAGTCATGTAATTCAATCGTAATCGAAGTAAACTATTTCGAAGTTAAATTGGTATTATTATTTGAAATTAGCTATTTATAGTCAACACAAAATATTTCTGGTTTGACCACCTAAAGTGGTTTTGAATTCAATTTCCCCGGTGAAACTTCCCCAAGTATTTCACCTCGACTTGAAACTTTGCAAACTCGAGAACCCTTGGTTTTTCTAACCAGCTTTTTATGCTTGTATAACACCTTTGCTGCGGCAGTAACTTTCTAATACTTTCCATTCCTTCGGTACAAGGTTAATAAACCTGGTATTAAAACTTACATTGTGGCGGCACAAGGCTTAAAGACCTTGTAATATTTAAGATATATTAATTTTATTTTTGGCTTCATGTTAATAGATATTGTGTTTTTTTTCTTTGAATATTAATAATAATGCATTTATTGACATACACCTGAAGGCGTTCGTGAATAACTTGTTTAGTATGAAAATTATAGCTATATTCAAAATACAAGGCTTATGCACCTTGTGCCGCACTGAAGTAGGGAAGTCTGGTGGGTATTCTAGTGATGTGAAATACAAATATCGATAGTTTAAATTAAGTTTTAATAAAAAATTAAAAAAGTAACAAACAAAGATGTTTTAATAATTTAGTCTAAATATTTTACAAATAAGACATACGTGCATAAATACTTAAATAAGCTATATTTAAAGAAAACATATTATTTAATAACATTTAGTTACAACTTCAAATGTTTGTCACGAAAAACATTATTTAAATTAGCAATAAATCGTATAGCAAATTAAATTATAATCAATTTGGAGTTTTGATTTTGTTTGTTTCTCTTGACGCCATGTCGACATGTGCGTTTCTTACGAATGCGAGGCAGCACTGGCTGCACGAAGCTAGCGTGGGGTGCGGTACCAGGTGCGCAGGGTACAAGGTGCTTCGACCTGGTTTCGCATTGTGAAGACATTTTATTACTTCCGTGCGGTACCAGGTCTAAAAACCTGGTATTAAGGTAGGTACATCATTGGATTCTATTTTAAGAATACATCATAGATATATATTCATCACTTTCCTACACCGGACCCAATTGAAGTTATGCCTTTCGCACGACAAGGAAGACTATAATTTTCTTAGCCGCACGGTAAGCGAGACGTACACAAGGTCTATAGACCTGGTTTCGCACTCAACGTGATAAGGTAAAGCAGTTTTTGTTGATTTCTTCACCGCACTTTCGTTGACGCAACCTCCAGTAGTTCATTCGGAGATATTTCTCTCTTATTTGTTTTATCGTTTCGAACATTTTTGCTTTCGTGTTAGTTCGGGACCAATTGGGTATCCCAAAAGTTTCTTGCCATGTTTTTACACGTTTTGGTTGTTTGGACTACGAAGCCGTTTTGTGTTTGTGTAGTCAGATTAGCACTTTTTGTTCGATTTCAACCTAACGCTTCTGAACCTTTTTAGTAAATTGCCTTTTTTGCATAATCACAGAAGTGAACAATTTAACGTGAGGCTAAAATAACAAGTCGAATTTTAATATTTATGTTGATGGTTAAAGTACGTAGCTAAATTAATTCTAAAGATTTAGGCCGCATTTTTATGAAATGAAAAGGAGTTTTTGTCGCCTTAAGGGTCTATCGAAATTTCTTGTTAGATGTTATCCATGTACCCATTATTTACCTCCTGTCCACATACAAATGAGATTTATGATGGAGCGAGCGATAAAAGAAGCGATTCTTTACTTTGATCTTTGACATTAAATGTCAAAGGAAAATTTTTTGTCTTACCACCTTAGGAACAGTCGTTCGATAAGGTCACGTATTACACGCAAATGACAAAAATTTTACTCTTGATATATCCTCGTACTGCTGTTTTCTTGCACAGCTTCAGTAAAACATTACCATTATTATATTCTCGCACTGCTCATCTACTTTTTCAAATTCAAATTCAGATATTTTATTCAGTACAGGCCCTTTCTAGGGCACTTATACACGTCCCAAATATAGCTTGCCCTACCACCACTTCGAGATGTGCTGGGGCTGAGAAGAAGTGGCGGAAGAAACTCGGTTACCTTTGTCAGCCTCTTTTTGCATTTGCATTTGCACTCATCTAGTCCAAACTCTAGTTAACTCCAAAATCGCATACCTTTAAGCCACTTAGCACTAGCTAAAAGTCTGTCTGCTTTGAACTGAAAATTTTTGAGGAACATTCCCTAGTACGGGCTTTTAAAGCCCATGATAACTAGTTTACTAGCGTTCGATAGTGCTTCCTAAATTCCCTCTGTCGCTGAGTCACAACTCCTCCGATGTACACATCAGACACAATATCCGGCCCATCCACTTTGAAAGGAATCGATATTATCGGGTCGCTATCCTGATAGTCATCGATAATAATGGGAGCGGTTAAGAAATTGTGAGTCAACGTTCTGTGACACCCTTAATACAGATTTGTGTTTCCTTCTGTTATTTAGATGGTGACGATGACAAACTATTAGTATTTTACATGGAAACAAATTTCTAAAGTTTCTAAAGGTAACTAACGCTAAAATCTTATTTGGGAATTAAGAACATTAAATGTTCTGTCATTTAATTAATAATAGAGCTAAAGAACAGTTTCGTCATCAAAATAGGGCTGTATGACTTTAATGTTATCAGTGTAAAACTTAACGTTTGCACTCAGCACATGGGTATGTTCAATGTTGTTTCTGTGCCAAAAAACCGGTATCGTTGGTAGAGACACGCGCGTTGGGCTAACGTGCCAAATGTGGGCCAGTTTGGCATTCGTTATCGCCCTGATAAGTACGTACCTGCCAAGTAAATTAGACGTATTTGGTACCATAGAGCCTATTCATATTTTGAACGACATTAAAAGGCTGTAAGGGGCTGTCACACGACATTTTGTGGGGTTCGCGTCTTTAACGAGCGTGTAAAAAGCGCGAATGTAGAGCGCTCGCAATTTTTTTGTCAGCGGGCACGATCGTGTTCTTGCATGAAACAAATTCTTTATTGTGATTTAATCGATCAAAATATATTTTTACAACAGTTCTTTCAGAGTTGTCGTTTCGAAAGCATCTGATAATGGTATATTTGTGTAAATATGGCTAATTAATAATGAAGCTTCAAGTTTGAGGCATGCATCGTCCGTAGTAAGCATTGTAGTAGTTGCTAGAGACTGATGACGCATGTTTAAAACGCTCGCGACTGAAAAACGCCAGTGCGATTTAGGCCTAACGTTCTTATTTGGTTCTAATCAAATAAACTAGCATTCTAAGCTAGCATTATTGCATAATTTTATGACCCGCGAGGGAGTAAACTGTATTTCCTTCTGACTGGGATAGGGCCTGATGGTAATGTAAATGCAGAAGCAAGTGTTTTTAAGAAAAATCTAAATAAGGGCCCAAACAGAGTATATTTTAAACCCGACAAGGACTCATAACCAAAAAACAAAACAATGACAGTAAAAAGTATTTAAAAAACATTGATTGCTGGTGAAACTGCCAGCAAAATAAAATGAATCATCCAGTAAACAGGAATCCGAAGAATGTACAATCTTTATCAGCGATTAAGCGATTAAGTTATTTGGACAACAACAAAGCAGCTATATTAATACTTAAGTCCGCATTATCATTAGGTAGTCACTGGATCAACTAGAGGTCAGAGAGCCGAACAAAATAGACTGAAATTATGTGTGTACGATTTACGAAATAAAAAAGAAACACTAAGTATTATAAAAACACAAGCACTTGCTTGGTTCCTACCTACCTATTGTGGTTCCCAGTTTGGTCATGATTACACGAATCAAATCACTTATTAACTTTATCAAAATAACGTTCTAATTGATTTGATTTGATTAGGAGGGTACGAAACTTAACGGTATACTTTTAATACCAAAATGATACAATTTTATCTGGTTGTATTAAACAAGTTAATTAAACTGTACATAATATATGAAGACTATATTAACATGGCTAGGCATTAACAGCTTATGATGCTCGCCTATTAATTTGCAACTGATTAAAATGCAGATTGCTAGTTAAAATTACAGTTTAATTACCATGTATTAATTTGACTTTAATATAAATTATGTATTACATTTACGTATTGCGAAATACAAACAGAATACCCAATAGTTCTAATTTAATACTGAAGTTTCAGACTCAAGTTTTAAGGCATTTCAATTTTACGAGACTCTGGTTTTGTGCGAAACTTTCAGACTAATGTGTTTTTGTGGGATAACGCGAGGACGTTTATCAAATGAAACGAAACTCTTAATTTTATTCCAAGGTGATATTATTTCCTCGCTTTTATCATTATTCCGTATCTACGGTCGGTTTGTCAAAAAGTGTATTTCCACTGAGTCTAGTCAGCTTTTTTATAGTGATAGCAGTTATTTTACCTATTTACTCAAAACATTATTGCAAAATTAACACAGTATAAAATGGGCATTTATTACGGCATTATCTTCAGTTATCCAATCACTGTTCTTAAATCCAGTTAGTCCACTTCTATTGAATATTCAGTTTTTTAGACGCACCTTTCTCACGATCACTTCTTTTATACCACAGGTACGAAGACTGGGCCTTGGTGGCACCGGCCCTCAGCCAACGTTCGACCTCACCGACCCTTACTGCAACAATGTGTCCTATGACTACGTGCCAGAACATGACCCCCATCTGGCCCACCACTTCGCCCAGAAGCCAGCGAGGAACAGGATGAAACAGCTCGGCTACTGCACTAAAGATGGACGGGCTGTGTGCTCGCTGAGAGAATTCAACCAATACAGAAAGTACCTGTACAACCAGTTCATGGATAGAATACACCAGGAGATGAAGAAATTGGTAAGTGCTGATGGATTTTTACTTAAGTAAAGGGTATAATCTAGAGCGGTGAAAGTGGCTATGAATATGGTTTATGAAAACTTGCTAGACTAGATAAAATGATTGGTTTTATAACTAGTTTGCTAGAAATCTTATTTTATAATAAGTACTCGTAACAGTTTTTAGGGAACAATTTGTTGATGTTGATATAACATGAGATTTGGTCAAGCATCATTCAGCTACGACAAGGTTTTCAGTTTCTAAGCATCTTTATTGTTCGCTCTCTGAACTCATGTAGATTGTAACTACCTATTTAATAAAGTTGCATCTCTAGCCATCCTCAATTATGTAAGTAGGTTTATACTCGTAAGATTGTTGTAATCCTTGTATCGTTTATTACTCAAATGCATTTAATAATTTTGTCATCATATTACCTACCGATCGTTATTATTCAACTATTAAAGGATAGTGACTTAAAGAACCTACAGCTGTAGAGCATAACTGAGTCACTGTTTGATGTATGAGAGCGGCGGGGGAGGAGTGACATTGACATATTATAACGTGACAAAGCATACAAATCTAAAGGCTTCCACAGACCAAACGCGGGTCAGAAGCAGTGCGGGTCAGTTGCAGTGCGGCTGAGGCACACTGAAAGCAGCGCAGTTTCAAAGCAGTTGCAACGCGGGTGGTTGTCAAAAATTTAATATTCGAAAAGCGCTTTCAACGCGCTGCTACCGTCCTGCGTCCGGTGTATCAGGCTAATTTATGGCCGCCATAGTAATACAAAAGCGCGGGCCCGCGTTCTCGTTGCTTCTGTCCCGCACCCGCGCTCCCTCGTTTATCGTTCGGCAGTTGCAGTGCGGCGCGGTTGGAGCGCGGGCCCGCGTTCAAATTTTGGTGTGACACACTTCAAAGAGTTTCTTGTATTACAACTTACGCGGGCCCGCATTCAAACTGCGCTGCTACTGCCCCGTGTTTGGTCTGTGGAAGCGTTAAAGGATATCTGAAGTCTCGCTGACGTTTGCCGTCTCAAAAACACCCTTGCCGCTCCCGTACCTTAGGCACTCACTCAGTTAACGTCAGACCTATAGTTAACCCTGTCAATGGTACATGCCATCAGGATGAACGAGCCCGTGACGACCTGACCCTGAAGAGAGTGGAAGTGGACGTGGCGAGGCGGTTGCAAGTGTTCACCAAAGCGGAGAGGGCAAGGGAGCACCTCGAGAGAGTGGCGCAGGAGCACGCGGATGAATGGGCCGAAAAGAGGAGACTGTAAGTATAATAATATTCTTGTGACGGAGTTTTGAAGAAGAAGTATAATAATAACGGCGGCCGCCCGTGACTTTGTACGCGTGGATCCCGTTTACCCCCTTAGGGATGGAGTTTCGTAAAATACTTTCTTAGCTGATGCCTACGTCATAACATCTACCTGCATGCCAAATTTCAGCCCGATGCGTCCAGTGGTTTGGACTGTGCGTTGACAGATCACTATGCCAGTCAGTCAGTCGGTCACCTTTGAGTTATGTATATTTAGATAATCCTAAGGGCCTTGCCACACTGGCGGATTACAAGCATTTTCAAAGCGGAGCAGCGACGCGAGGCGGAGACGTTGAGAATCCGCGACGTGTTCGCTGCGGACACGCGGTGTCACCGCTCCGCTTTGAAAACGCTTGCAAATCCGCCAGTGTGGCAGCTCACTAAAGGTGTTAAGGTGGTATGCTAGTAAAGTCTAGCGCTTAAGTCAGTATTTCCCAAAGTGGGCGATAACGCCCCCTTGTGGACGCTGCAGCAGGCCTGTTCATCTCCGCGAGTTTACATCGAAAACAAAACACGCACGATTGCCCCCTACAAGAGTACTATTCGACAAGGCCTCACATACGAGCGAACATTGACTCACGCACGCGTATTCTTGTGTATGATGGAAAAAAATAAAGAAAATGGTGTACTAAATACTGTGCAGTATTTAACTGCCTAAATAATAATAAAAACACAGAATGTACTTTTTTAAGTTGCCTCAAGACACTGAGAGGTAAATAAGTAGTTAATATTATTCATGATAATTCATGCTAAATCATGTATTTCCTCCGCCATTTTCTGCAGATTGGCACCTCACGTCACATCATTTTACCGAAGTCAGCCCTATAGCTTCGGCGCAGTACCGATCACTGACGTTTGTCAACAAAACTTCTGACAAACTTGCTTGACTCTTGAGACAAGCTAAATTACACCATATTGTTATTGACATTGAGCATACATTTTTTTAAATACCTTCGCGAAGTAAAATTTCTGTACGTAGTACTTATTATTATTCTGTGGCTGCAGGCTTAAAGGGGGGCGGTAAGAGACGCAGAAAAAAAAATGGGGCCGTTGTGTAGAGGCTTGGGATGCGTCATCTACTAGGAGGACTCTTAGACACCGACTGAGCTCGACTCTTGACTACAAGAATGGGGGGCGCTAAAAAATATTTTATTCTCAAAGTGGGCAGTAGACTAAATAAGTTTGTGAACCGCTGGCGTAAGTCAATGCCTGCCTGAGGTATGGAAGCGGGACAGGAGGGGTGCGTTGACATAGGTATTATGATGTGACAGAGCATACAAAATTAAATGTTATTTTTCAACCTGCTCTAGTACTGGGTAGGTGGTTGAATTTCATAAATCGTGCAGATTTTTAAGCTGTAAGTAAAAGTGTTACGTAAACCTTAATTAATATTTCAGGTACGTCCCTTCTTAATTTAACTTAACTGAGTCATCACATCCTTACATTAATAATTAACGTACTGTTTTCCCAAGTGAGAGAGACAAAATATATATCTACTGAGGCAATTTTCTCAATTACGGAGGTACCTAGTTTCGTCTTCTCGTAATTCCACTTGAGAAATTTTTCACAAAACATCCTTTGGGAGAGTCGCAATCATATGAAACGTGCTCAAGTACCCAGAATAACATAACGTTATAGCTATAATGATAATATTATAGGATTTATATCATCTGGTCGCAATACAGGTGTCCTCTTATTTTGTTAATTTTTATACTTAATAAAAAAAGGATTTTTTGGTCTACTCAAACGCAACAACTTTTCCCAAGGGACCGAAGTTCAAATATTTATGAAAAATAGCTTTCCACAGCAATCAGTATTTTAATATGGTGACGTATTTTTTTTTTGAGAATCTGATATTGACTCTGTAGGGAAAAAAATGAATTTGAGTAGTAAAAAGAAACATAAAGCCTTTTTTATCAAATAAAAAAATAACACACTGTACATTTCATAATTTGAAACCGATTAGGATTCCATGCTTTGGATAAAAAAGAAACTCTCCATGCAAGATCAATCACATGTCAGCGTTGTAACGGATCTCCCAAAACCTTTTTCTATGTTCGGAAAATAATTTTGTTTCAACAAAAACAAACTCTTTCTTACACGACCGAACCTATATAGAATAATGTTACGTAACCAGCAGCTGGCTTCAAGCAAATTTTAGGTACTTATTAGTTAGTTTAGCTTTTAGTCAGTGTTTCAGGTACGGGGGCGGCACAGGAGGGTGTTTTTGTAACATCAAATACTTATCAGCGATCTGCTTCAGATTTATATTTTATGTTACGTCATAATTATGTCAATGTCACCCCTCCTGTGCTGCTGTATATTGAAATTCTTTTTTTTTATCTACAATTACGAGGAGGCTCTTGGCCTGTATCTCACCTGATATTAAGTGACGAGCTTCACCCGGAATCCTCAACCACGGAGGAACTGGCCATCTTACCTCTAACTGCCGGAACACAACAATGATGTTAACATTTGTTGTTATGGCGACAGACTTAGGTAAGATGGTGGTAGTTAGCCAGGCTGACTTAGAACAAGCCCTATCACCAACCAAACCGAACAGAAAAATCTGCTCCCACTGGGAATCCAACCAGGGACCTCTGCGTCTGAAGAAGGTGAACTTACCACTAGACCACAGAGGCGGTTAATATGTAGAAACATAATAAATTATGTTTGGTAAACAAATAATTACTTCGGTAGTATAGAAAAATATAACAGTTCTTCTTCTAATTCTGGATAGCCTCGACCAGATTTAAATTGGCGACCTTTTCGGAATACATTTGCTTACGTTTAAGAATTAATAAAACAAGTATCTGGTAAATAATATACACGGGTGAAGGTCAACTTCTCTTCGGATTGCGTTTTATTAATAAATCTATTAAGGGCTGATTTTTCAAACATCAGATTTCTTTTAACTGAAGAATAAACTTGTCATTTTGACATATTTCCCATACTAAAACTGTCAATGTGACAAACTTATTCTTCAGATAAAAGTTATCAGGCTATTGAAAAATCAGCCCTAAGTATAATTGGTTGACTACTCACTCAGTTCCTCAGTCAGTTCCTGAGTTATGGGAGTAGCACGGGAAGGTGTTTTTGTGGATGTCAAGCGTCAGCAAGACTTCATATTTGTACGCTCTGTCACGTCATAATATATCAATGACACCCCTCCCGTGCCGCTCCCATACCTCAGGCACTGACTGATTTATTTATTTATTTTATTTAAAGACTTTATTGCACACACAACAATGTTCTGTACAAAAAGGCGAGCTTAATGCCATACGCCATTCTCTACCAGCTGACCTTGTTATTTAAGCACTAGACTAGAAAATATTAGATGATATGTCTGCCCATAACATCTCACCCGCCAGTTCCTCAATTACTCCGTGATCATGGCGCTTGCAACAGTGCCGAAAATATCGGAGGCTCGTAATTAAGGTAACATGGTAGCAATCCCGTCAATAATAATCATTCTAATTCTTAGGCTGAGTTGCACCACCTAACTTTGACCGTAACTATAGCGATAACCGGTGTATTTTGTATGAAATTTGACAGATTTTTGACGTTTGTCAAAGTTAAAGTAAGATGGTGCAACTCAGCCTAAGTTTAGACGAGTATGAAATGGGGTACATTTCACTTAAAACATTCCCTTTACGCCCACCACAGTCTCCAATCTTCGATGTCCTCCATATTGATCCTATTGAAAAGCCCTCTGCATAATCATAGCGTGCATGCTAATACACCACGACTCAGCAAATCTCTAAGTGCCATCCAATAGGCATGAGAATTTTATTTCCTTTTGAGTATCTCGGTTGACTGACATCAGATATTTGGCGCAGTCATATTCAGTACTACCCGGCGAATTTGATGAAAGAATTTTGCAAATTGGTCCAGTAGTTTAGGAACCGATTCAATACAAACAATCAAATCTTTCCTCTTTATAACATTACTAGCGCCGAGGCTTTGCACGGGTGCTAAGTATACATAAACCTTCCTCTTGCATTGCATCACTCTATCTAATACAAAAAACCGCATCAAATTCCGTTGCGTAGTTTTAAAAATCAAAGCATACATAGGAGGGACAGACAGCGGAAAACGACTTTGTTTTATACTAATGTAGTTATTGTAGATAAAATAATTGAGTAAAATCATTGTGAGTCTATCTAAACAGTAAATTCTTGAAGTTTTTTGGCATATGTATAAAGAAGCTCGTCTTCTGAATCGTTGTTGTGACAAAGTTAAAAATAAGGCGTCCGTGGCTACCAAAAAGCAAAATAACAAAATACGGGCGTCAGAAAATGGCGCGATATTAATACCCTGGGACTTGCGTTAACCATCCATTAAGACCGTAACTAATACCGACATTGGCATAGCTTATGAACTTCCAAAATCCAAGTAAGCCTTCGCAGAATCATTAATGAGGTTTGGTCAACAATTTGGGCCCGGCTTGGTGTTAAGTTAACAAGCCAAATTACGTGAGCTGTGAACACATTTATTTATGGCATCACTTCGTTTTCATTTGCCCCACGCTGAATTTACCCGTACATATTCCCTTGGGGACAGAAAACAAATATTTCTTCATTTGCTATTTATTAAAGAATCGATTACTGTTGATTTTTCGTTAACTGATTCTTACACAGTGAGTGAAAAACGTTAGTTTCACTTTTTTCAATTGAACTGATGTTGTCGTGATAGCAAAGGAATTATTTTGCGTAGCTTTTCTATTTGCAAAAGGATCTAGTCAATATTGAATATTCAGTCAACAAATCGTCAATGTAAACACATCGTATTGCACGAGTCACGACCCATTTTAAAAATATGGACTTTTATTAAAGCATCTTTCAATTTCTGTTGAAAAATAGGTACTATTTTTCTCGTGGTTTTTCAAAATGAAAATGAAATTTATTCATTATCATAGGTACAAAGTTGTTAGGGGTTAGTAGGTTCCACTATGA